GGAGATGAGCACCGCAACCCTAGAGTCGGATTCAACTGGCTTTCGAGCAAGGGAAACCTTTACCTTTCTCCCCAGTGGGGCTCACAACACTCCATTCCTGTTTTACCCTCACAATGACCCTGTGGATTAGTTTTGGCTGACAGTATGTGACAGGCCCCAGGTCACCCAGCGAGCTTCCATGGCAGAGAGAGGATTCGAACCTGAGTCTCCCAGAGACTAGTTTTAGACTCCAACCACTACACCATACTGGCTCTAAGACTATAGGTTTCATAAACCAGCCAGGGATTTAGATATCGCTGAAGAACCACAGGTGGATTAAAACATCAAGAGGTGCCAGTCTCTCCCCCACCCCCACCTTTCCCACTTCCTAGATGACACACCTAGCTTTCAGCAGCTTCCCCAAACTCATGGTGAATGGAAAACAGTTGTGGACAGCCAGTATTAGGTATTAAGCAGAGCATTATGGGATTGGTAGGATGAGCTGTGCATTGAGGAAATGTGGGTGTCTGCTTTCACCTCCAGCAATAGTGGCCCAGAGCCAACATTGGGTGTATCTTTAGCCCCCCCCAGATGTGTGCCAGGCCAGCTGTGAAGCTGATAGGCCTTTTAGACTCCCACTGCCAGAATACGGTCAAACCAGTAAAATAATGGAGGGTTGAGCAGCCAGTTTGGTGTAGTGGTTAGGAGTGGGGACTAATTTGGGAGAACTGGGTTTGATTCCCCACTCCTCCACTTGCACCGGCTGGATGACCTTGGGTCAGTTACAAGTTGTTTCAGAGCTTTTCTCTCTTAAGCAGTTCTCAAAAGAGCTCTCTCAGCCCCACCTACCTCACAGGGTATCTGTTGTGGGGAGGGGGAGGGGAAGGAGACTATAAGTCACTCTGAGACTCCTTCAGGTAGTGAAGGGTGGGGTATAAACCCAATCTCTTTTTCTTAACTTTCTGCTTTGGGCCTCTCTACGTTGCATGGGTGACAGGTGACTTGTCTGGTATCCTTTTCTCCTCTACAGCATCCTTCCTTCCATCCCATGTTCCAAAGGGGAAGAAGAAGAGATTGGATTTATACCCCAACCTTCACTACCCAAACGAGTCTCAGGGCAGCTTACAATCTCCTTTCCCTTCCCCTCCCCACAACAGACACCCTATGAGGTAGGTGGGGCTGAGAGAGCTCTCTTGAGAACTACTCATGAGGGAACAGCTCTGAGAGAACTTGTAACTGACCCAGGGTCACACCAGCAGCTGCATGTGGAGAAGTGGAGAATCAAACTTGGTTCTCCCACATTAGAGTCCGTGCTCCTAACCACTACACCAGACTGGCTCCCTATGGACTCTCTGGGAGTCCATAGCCTTCACTTGCCACTTCAGAGTAGAGATTGCCCCCTCGCTCCTGAAGTCCACAAGAGGGCACTTTATGTTGCCAGAAAAGCACCGCCCTTGGTAAACAGGCTGGCTCCACATTACAAGTCACCCCTGGATCCTTTCCTCTAGCTGCCCACCCTTTGGCGCGGCTTCCCTTTCCGCAAAGTCTGGCTATTTGGAGGCACTCCTTCCATGCGGGGTGGGGGCGGTAAGACCGTTCACCCCAGAGAGGATCCTACTTTGGCATGAGTGACTCCAGCACTCCTTCCGAATGCCAGGCAGGTTGGGTAGCAGGTGTAGAGCTGCTGGGAGGAGTGCCCTCCGTGCCAGTTGCAAATGGGCCAGGTGGCCAGTGAAAGGGCACGCAGCTGGTGCCAAGCAGCAGCTCCCTGTCTACAGTCCTCATTTTCTCTCTAGGCGGTTTTGTCTCCCTCCCCCCAACTTCCTCCACTGCTCACACAACCAGGAGGAGCCCTGTCAGTCTTGGAGGGGAGAGAAGGGGGGGGGGGAAATAACACTCGGATAGGTGTTTTTCCATGGAAATGGAAGGATCCCTGCCTACTTGTGAAGCAGTAAAATGGCTTAAGCTTTCAGGCCACACTCTGCCTACCCAACAGGCCAGTTTGGGGTAGAAATGGGAGGAGATGGGAGGTGGGGTTCTGCCCTTGGTAGTGGGGGGGGGCAGAATATCGGGATGCAACATCCTTTTGTGGGACCCTTGGTTTGGTAGTGCTGGGGAGTCTTTACAGCGCCCTGTTTGGTGTTTTAATAGGTCAGGATTGGAACTCAGGACCCCAGCCTCCAGGTGGGATGTGGGGATCCCCCCGGAATTACAGCTCAGAGTGAGCTCCCGTCTCTGGTCCCAGCTCCTGCCAACCTAGCAGTTCGAAAGCAAGAACATAAGAACATAAGAGACGCCAATGTTGGATCAGGCCAAAGGCCCATCCAGTCTAACACCCTGTGTCACACAGTGGCCAGAAATACCAGGGGCCATCAGGAGGTCCACCAGTGGGGCCAGGACATAGAAGCCCTCCAACTGTTGACCCCCCCCCAAGCACCAAGAAGACAGAGTATCACTTGCCCCAAAGCCCCTATCTATACCTTGTGGCTAATAGCCACTGATGGACCTCTGCTCCATATGCTTATCTAATTCCCTTTTGAAGCCGTCCATGCTTGTAGCCGCCACCACCTCCTGTGGCAGTGAATTCCATGTGTTAATCACTCTTTGGGTGAAGAAGTACTTCCTTTTATCCGTTCTAACCCGACTGCTCAGCAATTTCATTGAGTGCCCACAAGTTCTTGTATTGCAAATTGCAAGTAGATAAATAGGTACCGCTTCGGTGGAAAGGTAACAGTGTTCCGTGCGCCTGGGCGTCCAGTCATGCCGGCCACATAACCACGGAAATGTCTCTGGACAGCGCTGGCTCTTCAGCTTGGAAACGGAGATGAGCAGCGCATCCCTAGAGTCGGATTCGACTGGCTTTCGAGCAAGGGAAACCTTTACCTCCAGACTAGAGAGATAACTTCCCCTGGAGAAAATGGATGCTATGAAGGGCATTGTAACCCACTGAAGAAGAAGAAGAAGAGAAGAGATTGGATTTATACCCCACCCTTCACTTGGAATTTCAGAGAGCCTTACAAACTCCTTTCCCTTCCTCTCCCCACAACAGACACCCTGTGAGGTGGGTGGGGCTGAGAGAACTGTGACACAAACTGCTCTTTTTCAAGGACAGCTGTGCCAGAGCTTGTGACTGACCCAAGGTCATATCAGCAGGTGCAAGTGGAGGAGTGGGGAACCAAACCCAGTTCTCCGAGATTAGAGTCTGCACACTTAACCACTACACCAAACTGGCTCCCTGTCCTCCCCAAGCTCGATTTCCAAATCTCCAGGAGTTTCCCAACCTGGAACTGACCACCCTATGCCCCACATCCCCTACCAGTGTGTGTGTGTGCAGACCAGGCAACCCTAGTTGGAATTCAAGCCCGCTTGAAAAGTTGGGAGGAACGACCTCTGCTAGAAAAGCTCCTCTATCAAATATCCAGTGCTGTGGAGGGTGTTTCGGAGGTGAAACGATAGCTCTCTGCACATGCTCAAAGGCACCACTTCCTTTATTGCCACTTTGCATGCATCTGGGATTCATGATTATTGTTTTACTCCTTTCATTTCTTAAAAAAATAAAAATAAAAGCCTCAGATGTCCCGGGTGCTGCAGACATAAAACCAGCCCCTGCCCCAAGGCATTCAAACCGAGGTTCCTTAGATCGTATTTACAGAAGCGTCTCCAGGCTAAGCACCGAAAAGCGAGTTCCGAAGCTCCAATTAAACCCTGCCTCTATTTGAAGAGAGGATTCTTTTCTCTCTCTCTCTCTCTTTTGTAAAAGCCACCTTTACTCAAACTGGCAGGGGGAGGGAAAAAACACAATAATTTTCAAACGCTGCAGACTGCAACCTTGAGCATCCGCGGGAGACCCATTGAAGCCGCCGGATTTACGCGCGTGCAAACGTGGGGGGGGGGCACCGCCATGCCTCGCGACGCCCTCCTCCCGCAAATCCTAAAAGCGCAAACAGCCCTCAACCATCCAGCCCTTCCGACGCCTGGGTGTGACCCCCGCCTAGGACGACTGGCAGCATTGCTCCCGCCGGCGGCGCCCCCCCCCCCCTTCTCCACCTCTGCCTCCCCAGTTTTAATCCCGCCCTCGAAGAAACTAGTGAGGGTCCTTCCCTCCAGCGCCCCCCCCACCCCCCCCCCATCAATTCCCTTCCCTCCCCCCCCAGGAAGAGGAGGGGTGTCGGGCGAAGACTGCCACATCCCCTCCCTCCCGCGGAGTGCAGCCGGGGATTGGTGAACTGGGGAATTGGGGAGCAACATCTCTTCTTCTCCCCCCCCCCGGTGTTTTTGGGCAGGGCTCCTGCAACTCACGCCCGTCTGCGCTCAACGCCCTCCTTCCGAGCAAGTGCCGGAGACTCAACTTTCTTCCTTTCCGTCTCTCCCCCCGGCCAATAATCCTCAGCGCATCTTGGATTGCTGCTCCGGGAACCTGCTGCTTTCGCCTTCTTGCGCCGCGCTTTGCTGTTCTCCTTCCGACCTCGAGGATTTTCTCTCGGGGGGCGATCTGGCGCCCTCCTCACACACACACCCATCCCCAGCCTCTCCCTTTGCTTAATTCTCTCACCCGCCCCCCCTTCCCCTCCGTGCTTTCAATGCTGGTGGAACAGTCTTGCCTTGCAACATGAAGGTCCTCAGCTGGGTCCGTCTCGTCCTCAGCCAGTGGCTTTTGCAAAAGGTGAGGAGCCGGGGCGTTTGGCTGGCGTGGCGGGGCTGGGGGGTGAGGCTTGAAAAGGATGGAAAGTTGGGGCCGGTGGAGACGACCGCCTGGTGCTGAAGCAAACTCCGATTGGGGCAGCCCGGAGAATACTGCCCGATCCGAAAGGACGGGAGGCGCGGGGGGGGCCTTGGCGGGAATCGTTTCCCAACTTCGACTCCGCGCCGGCTGGCGAGTGGTTGGAACGCAAAGCCCGCCAAGGCTCGACGTGTGTCTCCAAAGTTAGGGGGATGCGGGTTTCTGGGGCGGGGAGTCGCTGTTGGCGGGGGCCCCCCGGACAACTGGGTTTCTCCCTCCCCCCTCTTCCCCCCCTCCGAAGCCAGGGCCGCTGGGCCCTTCCGTCTGGCGGCTCCGCGGAAGGCGACTCGCGAGGCGGAGACCGTGGGAATAGAGCCTCGCCGCCAATTCGGATCGTCTCGCCGCGGAGGCGGCTCGGTGGGACTCCGGGTCAGGGCGGGCTCTCGGTGCTCGCGCCGCTTTGCGCTGGGAACGAAAAGGGGAGGGAAAAGGCGAGCGAGAGCCTGGACTGGCCGGTGCGATGCGGGTCTTTCCGGGCGCTCCGACGTTCGTTCCTAGGACGCTGTACTGCCCCCGCGTGTTAAGAGTCGCGGCGCGCAGAATCACACGACTCGGGCTTCAGAGGTGCGCGCCGTTCTCACGCGCCGCGGTGTGTACAGATCCCTTCACGCGTCATCGTGCGGAGGGGTTCTTACAGTAGTGGTTTGCCACATCTGCACGTGGGAATGATGTCAGGGTATTCACGCGCGTACACGATGCGTGCCTGCAAGGGGCCGGGATGAGAGGGAGCGAGACCTGTGTGTGTGTGTATTCCTTCACAAACGCCAGACGGGGTGTTCCGTGCGATGAGAGTGCTACACCCCTGTATCAACACAACACTTGCTGCGATCGGGGGTGCCTGCAGGCAGAACGTCTTAGGCAGACCTTCCAGCAGGATCCCATCATTTTAGTTTAATTTCCATTTCATCGCCTCATAAAAAAACTGCCTCGCCCAGACTTTTCTGGGGACGCTCCAGTGCCTCGAAGACTGGGGTGAGGTTTCCCCTTTGGCCCTTCAACTCCCCTCTCTTCCTTTGAGGTGCTAATGGCCGTTATCCCTTCAGTCTTTGGGCTGGTTCAGAATTGAGCGATTTTAGGCAAGGCTCTGACTTTTTGTGTTCATTTGCGACTGTCTCCAATGCAAACCAGCATGCTGCCTTGGAGATGTGTCAGGCCTTTGCATAGGGCCCTACAGACACCCCCCCCCCCCTTCCTTTGCTCTTCTTGGGGAGGGCATTTGACAGGGGCAGGTTCTGAGGTGGGTGACTCCCACCAGTCCACCAAACCCTGGTAAAACTTGCCCCGCCTCTGACCTTGACCAGCCCCCGTCTTCCAGCAAATCCCTTTGCCCAAGATATTTGCCTGAACCACTCAGTTTCCCCCACTGTGGATACTTTTGAAAGAGGGTAACTGATGGTGGATGGCCCAGGCTCACCTGATCTGGTCGGGTCTCGGAAGCGAAGCTGAGTCATAAAAACCTAAGAGAAGCCATGTTGGATCAGGCCAGTGGCTCATCCAGTCCGACACTCTCTGTCACACGGTGGCCAGAACCCAGGTGCCATCAGGCGGTCCACCAGCGGGGCCAGGACTCCAGAAGCCCTCCCACTGTGGCCCCCTCAGGCATAGAGAATTCCGAGCATCACTACCCCAGACATACTGTTCCTATATATACCTTGTGGCTGATAGCCACTAACGGGACCTCTGCTCCAGATGTTTATCCAGCCCCTTCTTGAAACTTGTGCTTGTAGCTGCAATCCGTTCCTGTGGAAGTGAATTTCACATGTTAATTACTCTTGGTTAGTACTTGGATGGGAGACCACCAAGAAAGTCCAGGGCTGTTATGTGGAGGCTAGCGATGGCAAACCACCTCTGTTCGTCTCTTCCCTTGAAATCTCTGTAGGGTCCCCTAATTTAGCTGCAACTTGCTTGCACTTTCCACCACCTATGGATGGTGCAATCCCAAACAGGCTTCTCCCCTTCTAAACCCGATGGATTTAGAAGGGTGGCTTTGCTGTGGCTGGTGTTTCCCCCGAGTTCCTGTACTTATGTTCCCCCAGGCTCTGGCCTAGTGTCTCCTCATTGGCTAAAACCAGAAGTCTCCACGGCCCATTAGCTGTTCCACTTGGAGGCCTGCCCTTTCTAATCTACCCAGTTTAAGATAAGTAGAAAAGCACTTAAAGCAAAGTGTTATTAAATAATTGCAGAACCCTCCTGACACAGACCATTCTCTCCTCCAACCCTCCCAGGCCTTGCATATTTCCCTGCTTTTTCCAAATATGCTACTTTAAAAAAACACAAAAACAAAAGTGCAGTTCCTTCCTAAACGATCTGGCCCCAGTGATTTGGAACTTTTGAACGGTTTCTCCTTAGACAAGGCGAACAATAGCTTTCCGTAAGGATCATAAAATTTTGATTCTTCTCTGTCGGCTTCAGACGCTGGTGTGTATGCATGTGTATAAAATAATTCCTTCACAGGTAGCTGGAGTTGCGATTTTTAGTGCTTGCAAATAGGGAGTTAAGAGCTTTTGGCTCAGTTCTTTAATTTCCCCCACCCCCTCCCGCCCTCCTCCCTACCCTGTGTCTTATTTTTCTTTTTACGGCATTGTATAGTTGCAGGCAGAAAAGAAGGAACGGCTCATTAAGCGCCGGGCCAGCAAGAATCGGATTTCATGACAATCAATTTTTACTTTTCAACAGTTTTCGTGAATGCCGAAGAAAAGAAGCATCCCCCCCCCAAAAGCACCACCCCTCTTTCCTTCTCAAGGCTCTGCGTGGCTCTGCTGCCACTCAGACTTTGCAAGGTTAGATCTAACCAGGCTGTCTTCTCTGTAGCGAGAGGGAGGGAGGGAAGGATTCCTTAGAGACTAACCTACCCCCCCCCCCGGCCTTCATGGCAGCCCTGGGAGCATCGCTTTTAAGATTTTTTTGGGAGGGGGAGAATCCTTTGTTTTAATCAGATAAGGAGTGATTTTTGTCGCCGGTGCACCAAAAGCCGGGAGGATCAAAGGGGCGAAGCGTGCAGGTGGGAGAGAATCTTGGCTACCGGTGTCTGAGGCTCTGCGTTAGGTCTCCTTTTCAAAGCGGTTCTCCTGTGGCTGAGGTGAAAAAGCTCTAGATCTGGGTGGGAAACACTCCCTTCCCGGTACCTCTCGCTCTATCTGACATGGCTTGAAATCGGCAAAGTTAAGGAAGGGGTGCACGTGGAAAAAAACAAACCCTTGACCGTGTACTATCAGTTCCTCACCATGATCGACATGCAAGCACTCGGCTGCGATCCGCTACCCGGATACCGAGTCCCGTTATCATCAGCAGAGCTACTCCAAAGCGAGGAGTCCCTGTGGGCCTCACTCTCATTCGGTGACGTGTCTGCCCTTACCGTGGCCTTCTGGCATTGTGACCTCGCCCCGACGTGTCTGCCCTTACCGTGGCCTTCTGACAGTGTGGCCTCGCCCCTTAAACTTTCAGATTTTATCTCAGTGTTTTCTGCTGTCTTCCCTGCCCTGCGGAGGGATACACTTGCCCATAGATCCGTGTCTGCAGCCAGTGGGGTTTGGTAAACCTGCTGCAGATAACCACACCAAAGCAAGGCCGTGCAACCCTGTTCTTTGGAGTGAGAATTTGGTCGATACTCGAGCCCACGGGAATTTTCATTACTCGTCCCTCTGTCCCCACCCTCAAGTTCTTCTGACCTTTTCAGAAGATAGAGGTGCTCAAGCGTCACTGCCATTGGGTTCTAGTCTACTCTCCAGTAGATAAGGAAGTCTGGGTTTTTGTGATCACAGGCATGCTGAGGGATCCAGAATGTCGTGGAGGGAGCGCTAAATTTTGCAGCTGTCACGGGAGCAAAAGAACCTTCCTTTTTCAAAAAAAACAAAAGAGCAGCCTCCTAGTCCTCAGTATTGTTGAAGGCAACCTGGAGAGAAAGAAAAGCATGAAGGTTGTTTGGTAACCCCTAACAGCTAACGGGGAATTAATCTTTCATTAGACAGGGTCGTGTTTCATCCTTATTCACAGTGCAGGTTTTTCTTCACTGCGTTCCTATCCCACCCTTACCCCAATTTATCTTCACAATACCCCAGCGAGTTGGGCTGAGATGCAATGCCTTGGCCATGGCCTTCAGGTTTTCCAGTTCCAAAAACTGGGTCCAGAGCTCTGCTCCCCAACCTGTATTCTGCACCCTCATCTTTACCTATTGAAAGTTCCAAATTCTGTAACCCGCTATGACAGCCGAAACAGTTAGGTCAGCTCATGTAGGCCAGTTGTTTGCATAACTGACTCCTACTTCAGACTTTAGATTGCTAGTTTCAGATTCTTTGTTCTGTATGGAATCGCTTTATTCCTGCTTTGTTAGTTGATGACAGTGGGGAGGGGGGGAGATTGTTGGATGTGATTTGGGATAGGGGGGGGGTTATCTCAAGAAGGGTTCTGAGACCGGAGCACTTAAAGGTGCTCTTCTTCCTAAAATCAGGCCAGCAGTGCTTGGCTCGGAGAGGATAACACGTGGTGTGGGAAGGAAGCAGTAATGCTGATGTGGACACACACCCCACTCTCTCTGGTTCCAAGGGCTTTGCACGGCTCCCATCAGTTATTGCCTTTAGGTTCTCTATCCTGTCCTTCATAGGAGGGGCACTGTTGTCCTGCAAGGGTGTTGCTACCTAGCAGATGTCCATCCGCTCTCTGCAAAGATGCTGCTGTTTTGGCACACGGCAGGCACTGCAAGGGGATTCAGCCGGAAGCCTTCTCGGCTTCCTTTTTCCTTCTCCATCGGCCTTCTTCAACCTTGACGGGCCTTTCTTCCTGAGCATTTTGTCCTGCTGAAACGGGACCGGC